ATGGCCACCTGCATTCGATTGCGATGCCCAATTTGGCCACGTGCACGCGGCAAGACATCGTCGACTACTTTGACAACACGTGGGCGCTGACGGACATGCTGTTCTCGAGCTTCCAGAACGAGGACGCGTTTGTCCAGCCTCCACCGCACCAGTTGCGCCACCCCATGGCGTTCTACTACGGCCACCCGACGTGCTTTTACATCAACAAGTGTCGACTGGCGGGCCTCCTCGACGCGCCGGTGAACCCAGCGTTCGAAGACTTGTTCGAAGTCGGCGTGGACGAGATGCGGTGGGACGACATGAGCAAGAACGAGAAGGAGTGGCCGAGTGTGGCGGACGTCCAGGCGTACCGTCGCCAAGTGTATGGGATCATCAAGGGACTGCTGGAGACGCACGCCGACTTTGCCGACGGCCACGCGCCCATCACGGCGTCGTCGCAGTCGTGGGCGCTGTTCATGGCGATGGAGCACGAGCGCATCCACCTCGAAACGTCGTCCGTGCTCATGCAGGAGCACTCGGTGCACAACTTTGTCAAGCCGGACGCGTTCCCGTTGTACCATCCGTCGGCGTTCCGGCCACGGTCGTCCAAAGTCCCCGAGGAAGGAACAGACTACCCGGCGAACCGCATGATTCGCGTCGACGCGCCGAGCGACGTGGGCCACGTGGTCACGCTGGGCAAGCCCGAGTCGTTTCCGTCGTTCGGGTGGGACAACGAGTACGGGACCAAACGAGTCGCGGTCGGACGGACGTTTGCAGCGTCGTCGCAGCTGGTGTCGAATGGCGAGTTCTGGCAGTTTGTCAAGGACGGCGGGTACTTGAACCAGAGCGTGTGGTCGGCGACGGGGTGGGCGTGGCGGTCGTTCCGCAACACCAAGTGGCCACAGTTCTGGCGCCCGGACGGGCCGCAAGGGAGCCACGAGTACCGTCTGCGCGCGCTGTTTGACGAGATCGACATGCAGTGGGACTGGCCCGTCCAGGTCAACTTGCACGAGGCGCACGCGTACTGCCGCTGGAAGAACCAGCGCGACGGCAACTCGGCGTCCGAGTACTACCACGTGATGACGGAGCCGATGCACCAACTCTTGCGCAACGACAAGGACAGGAGCCATCCGTCGTCGACGACCGACGTGGACGACGCGATTCTGAACCTGCCGCGGCTCGCGACGATGGCCAGCAACGACGGTGGCGCGCCTCGCAACACGAACGTGAGCTTTGCGTCGTTCAGCCCCGTGGACGCGATGCCCCCGAACGACCAAGGGTTCCACGACGTGTTTGGGAACGCGTGGGAATGGTGCGAGGACCACATGAGTGCGCTGCCGGGGTTCCACGTGCACCCTGTCTACGACGACTTTACTCTGCCTTGCTTTGACGGCGAGCACCACGTGATCATGGGCGGATCGTACATGAGCAGCGGCGACAATGGCGCGTCCAAGTACGCTCGGTACCACTTCCGGCCGCACTTTTTCCAGCACGCTGGCTTCCGCGTCGTGGCGAGTCCAGTGACCCGGTCGGACGACGGCACCAACGTCGTGGACGTCGTGACGTCTTGTTTGAACGCGCCAGAGCCGCACACGGTCGTGAACCCGTACCGGACGACGCCGTCGATCGTGCTCAACCCGGCCAAGGCGTCGTCGTTGTTCTTGGCCAAGTTGGAGGCGCAGGCGGCGACGCAGTGGCGGGACTTTGGCGCTGGCTACGACAAGGTGCACGTGATGATGGATGCGTCCGTGGACGACGTGACCAAATTGGGTGGGGCCAAGTCTGTGCTCGTGGTCGTCTCGAGCGCGTTGGACGCCGCGCTGGCCGACGACGGGTCGTGGGAACGCGTCAAGGACGGCGTGCTGCCGCTCGTGGAGAAGGAAGGGGCGG